ATAAAGAAGCTGAGCTGAATTCTGGACTGTCTCGTGGTGATTCTTGGGCTGAACCTGACATGAGGGCTGCACATTCTTGGGGACAATCTCTTAGAAGACCCTTAGTGGTAGGGAATGAATGTCCTCCTTTTTCCTCTTCCTGACTTTTCTCTCTCCTGTCCTCAGTAACAATCACGGTCTTCTCCAAGTCCCCCAAAAGCAGAGGAAATCTCTTTATCTCATCCCACTTGCTGACAATTCTGGAGGACTAGGGAACTGGGGTATCTGTCTCCGGATGTATGTCCCCTCCCTTCTCTTCTCCTCTGTTGAAAAGCTCCCTGGTCACAGGACGAGACCAACGAGCTGCAAAATCGTTTGTCTGTGTTCCATCTGGAGATGCTCAATCAGCATTCTCTACTCTTCAAGAAATCTTGATGACAAAACCTACAAATCCCTCATGGGTAGGCTACGTGTTGATGGCCAGAAAAACCAGCTGCTCACTCCATCAGAAATAATCCTACAAAAGCAGGGCAGAGTCTCTGTCTGTGTGTTTATGTCGGTGTGCATTTGGCTAACAGCACCGCACAGGCCGCATTTGAATGTAGCATCATAGATGGTCTGACCCGGTAGATGTGAGAGACTGTGGGGAGGCTGGGAAAGAAACGGAGGAGAGAGCAGACATAAACAGTCAAGAGATAGAAGGCAAATCAATTGACAGTTTATCTCATAAACAGCAACTCAGCCCAGGTGGATAGAAACCTGGAAAGCGGCCATTCAAACCACTCAGAGAGACCTCACCTTAGATCAGTGTTTCTCAACCTTGGCCACTTTAAGGTGTGTGGACTTCAATGCCCAGAATTCCCCAGGCAGCATACCTTAGATAAATTAATAAAAACAAGGGTGGGAAATTCCTCCTACAGTTTTCAAGATTCTGGATTTACCCTGACATTTGCCCCCAGTGGTGATTACATATACTTTACAAACATTCGTGTAGATCTTGCCTAGCTGCCTGGGGCTGACGGAAGGGGCGTAATCCAACCCACTGCTCAGAGTGGGCATCAGGCATCCATTAAACCATCTTTGACAGTGGCCATCCAGCTTGTTTGAAAACGTCAAGGGAGGAGGAATCCACCACCCTTCTATGCAGACTGTCCTACTGCTTCACGGCTGACATCAGCCAGAAATCCCTTCTAACAATCAGTCTGAATCTTCTTACTTGTAATTTCAACACGCTGATTATTGTTCTGCTCAAATCTGAAGACAGGTCCTCTCCTCTTGCTCAAGACAACCCTTTCGATATTTGTCAACCACAATCACATCTCCCTACAATCTTCTCCCTTGCAAGATAAAGATGCCCAGGCTTGCAGATCCTTTGATCACATTGTTTACAACTCACCTGTACTAGGGCTTCCTTCATGGCTGTCCAATTGGAGACACGCCATGCACACTCCAGAACCAGGTAAGGGTTTATGTGACCCTTGGACTGGCCATATTCCGTAAGCGCTTCCCACTGATTCAATTCCTTGGAACACCTAGAAACGAGAAATGCAACACCAATCCAGTTTTCTGGTCAAGAGGAACCTTTCCTTTGATCAAATGCAGGAAATCTAGCTGTTATAACCCAGCATTTTGAAGGATTCTGGCCTTCTCCACTCCAGATATACTGCAGATTCAATGATTTTTGGGAATTTTTGGAATTTTTGGAAAGGCATGCCATCACACTTTGCAGGTACCAGAACACAGAAAGTCTGCTCAAAACACTTTCAAAGAGTTGAGTTACCCTTCAACATTCAACTGCTGTCTTTTGGATCCAATTTTTCTCTTATTAGGAGCTTAATCTGAAATAGTTTTTACTCTACTCCATTTTGGCTTGTAGAAATATTCTCACAACACACATGTGTAAAAGGAAAAATATTTGTGGTAAGAGACACAACAAAACAAGGTCTTTTTCCCATATCACAATTTTAATGTAGAACGAAATAATTCTGAGGAAGTCCATTCAACTAAAAGCAAGGAACATTTTTGCAAAGCTGTAAGGAGGCACTCGCTCTGAGGGAATGGAACAAAGTTTGCCTGTTTCTTGATATTTTCTGAAATTTAGGTGAAACCTCACATCCTGGTCTCCAGAGGCCCAAATGTTCATAGCAACATCATAAAAAATGAGCCACAACCAGATTTAATTAACTTACCGAATCCAATGGTCTTCCCAGAGCTGATATTCAGGAAAAATAGCAGGAGAGGCATTACTTCTTTCATGTTCTTTCTTAGCTTTCTCCATCGCTTTTTCGTAGGTTTCCTGAGCCTGGAAAGAAAACAAAGACGTTCAGTTTCTCATGGACCAAGCTAGAGGAAAGATATGCTGACAGAGGCTAGGCCCCACATAGTCTGCTGTGGCATGACATTTATTCCCCACCACCATCACCAATCACTCAAGGAGACTGGCTCCACTGGGGAGGGACAATCTGATGGGTGCCCTGATTGTCGGACGCAGCTTCCTAAACTGGAGAAATAACAACCATATCACACATTTGCATTATTCATTCATCAAGACAGTGGCGGCCATCTATTTTCGGAAGGGAGGGAGGGGAACACTTTCTCCTACACCAAAGGCCACCTCTGGCCTCCGGGTGGCATGCCAGGATAAATTGGTGGGTGGGGCCACAGCAAAAAATGGAAATGGATTTAGTGGAATTACTTTCATTAAAATACACTGTATTTTTAAGATTTCCCCCCTTACCATCCCTTTAAATATTGTAAATCGATTACAACTTTTGGAGGGGCTTCAGGAGTCCGCTCAGAGGGCACCTGGGAGTTTTTCAGGAGGCCGTGGCATCTCAGTTTATCTATCTACTTTGCCCTAGAGCATCAAATGTATCTGTGGGGTATGGGGGGAGCTGGCGGGACCAGCCTCTCCCCCTGCCCCCCCAGGGCCCAGCACAATTAGTCTTCTAAGCAAGCCAGAATCCCACTGGTACCCCAGCATCTTTGCAAGGCGGGACTACGTGCAAGTCAGTTCGTTGAGTTTAAACTTCAAAGTCTCGCACAGATCCATAAAATTCCTAACTAGGTTAACCATGCTATACAGGTTAATCCAGACGTTTTTCCAATTCAACAGGGTGGCAGACGAGGGAAAGACAACCGCCTGCCTTTAAGTCTCAATAAATTCCAATTCCTACATGCGTTCCTTCAAGAAAAAAAATCTGATTCCAATCAGCCAGAAGGGTTAATAACATCCTACCTGGCTCATGTGCCATCCGTTGCTAAATATCCCTCTTATCCATTTAATCAGCGTTCAAACTGTTGGTGGAAAGGGTTTTTGCTAGAAAAGGCTTCTTCTGGCCTTATATGCAAACATCGCCAAGCTCAACAAAAGTAATTGTGGCGGCTACTACCAAGCACCTCAAGTTTGTGAGAAAGCCCTTAATTAAATTTGCACGGTTTGAATGTATCACAGCTTGCAAGAGGCACTTAATCAAGATCATTCACAGCCCTACTGTTGTTCAATAAAAGAGAGGCTTCACAGGCTTCTGATGTCAAAGGAATGGCAACTTCAAGCAGACCTGTACCGTTGTGGTCTATTTTTCATCCCATAGATAGGTTTTTTTTAGTTATGCACACATACATGCACACACACACACACACACACAGAGACAACCTGCTCGAAGAAGCCGTGCTGTTCGTAAGCAATAGCGGTTGCTGTCTCCGGAAATTTACAACGCTTCTGCCACAATCCAGCCCACATATCCTCTTCTTGGAGCAAGCAATACAGCTCTGCCAGCGAGTCAAGGATTTCCTACAAGGGGGCGGGGGGAAGCCAAAAGACAATCGAAGATCAGTAGGCACTGGTTTACAATTAAGCTTCTCAACCCATCAAGATGGACCAGGTCAAGAAACAGCCACCACCGGGCTTCTAGGAGTGTTACTTTATTGTAGTAGGATATATTAACAGAATCTTAGAAGCCTGCCAGAGATTCTCTTTGCCCTATCTTATACCAGACAAGATCATGAAAGGATATTTTGAGTTTCTTTCTCACACTCTCCACTTCCTAAGGACCCAGTTGCTGCTTCTCCCTTAACCCTCCCTCCCTCCCCTGTCCTTTACACAGCTCAAATGTCCAGTCATAAGGGCATGGCAGCATTAAGGTATTTATTTATTTAAATGGATTTAATGGCCACTCCAACTGCAAATAACTTGAAGTGGCACACAGGTACTCCTCATTTAGCGACTGCCTTGTACAGCGACTGTTCACAGTTATGACAGTGATGAAAAAGTCACTTTGCGACCAATCCTGCATTGACAACTTTCACAGGTCTGTAAAGCAAAGGAAAGCTGAAGTAAGGTCAGAAGCACAGTCGCGGTTTCATTTAGCCACCACTCCGCTTAACAACTGAGTTGCCAGTCCCAACTGTGGTCGTTAAACGAGGACTACCTGTGTATCTATCTTTAGAAACTGGGTTAAAAACAAGGCAAGAAAAAGAAGAAAAATCAGGGACACCAAAAGATCTTCCACAACCAGAGGGAACAAGATCACAGCTTTCTAGCTGCCAAGGCCTGATGGAATAACCATGGTTTAATGACCTCCCTAAAAGTTAGGAGGGAAGGATCTATCTGGTTGTCTGGGGAGATGCTGCTTTGCAGAAGGAGACACCAGCCTTAAACATTTCCTCTTCTAGAGTCTAGTACTTATATCTTATTGTTCCGTTTTTAACTTTTTAACTTTTATTTCCTAATGAAGCTTCTCCCTAATTAAATTAGAAATTGTTGAGGCCTTGCCATTCGAGCTCCGAAAACGCTATGACACAACTGTATGCTTTTCCAGCCCATGTCTGTAACAAAGATGTCCTCTTCTCCCTTTCCAGACTGGGCATTTTGAATTCGAAGTGGTTCCCGTTCCAAACATTGTGTAGACCCATTTGCTTCACATCCATCACCTACCCAGGTTAACTGCACTTGCTGGGCCTTTTTTGCCTACACACACACAGACACACGTATATTTTTTTTCAGGAGACAAATCCCAAATTTGCATGTACCTGCTGGGGCGGCGTGATGCTTTCCTGCTCATAAAACTCCGTGGTCTGCTTCGGTTTGATCTGCAGACTGAGCCCTTTTTCAAAGGCCTGGTGTTCCAACATCAGGGTGGAACGGAACCAGAGGTTATGAGTCTTTCCCAGGTACTTCAGCACGCACGGCCTGATTGGGATGGGGGGGACGCACTGTGACATGGCTTCCACAAAGCAATTCAGTGCGCTCGGCTGGCAGTCGCGCTGGACCTGGTGGCTGCCGCTGCACAAGAAAGGACTGACTTCCCCAGCAAGAGCCTAAAAGGGAATTAGCCATTGTTGCATTATTCAGGCAATTCCAAGCGCAGAGCTGGCATCGTGAGCAGGCTTGCCGGTAATGCTCTCCACAGAGACCTTGCCAAAAACTGTTCTTTCAGGACTGGAAACATGAGTCTTGGTGGGACTGAAACTGCCACTGTGAACCTCCCGGGAAAGCATTAAAGCTCTGAAACTTCTTTTTCCAAGAGGAACAGCGCTAAAGTGAAGAACAGAGTCTCCTATTCCCCAACATCCAGAATGGAGCGATGACAATTTAAAGCCATGCGCGAAACATTCCCAATTTTCTTTTAGCTGCCTGTGCCAAGTCGTCTAGATTCAGCAGCTGATCAAAGATTATCAATCAAGAGGCTTCCTCTGTCTGCCCTAACAGGTTACATAGATCTGGCGGCATACGAGTTTGATCGATCAATCAATGAACAGCAGACAAGCATGTTGTTTCTTTCAAGGAAATCTAAGCATCCCCTTTTCCCTAGGCTGGAATGATTTCCTGATCTTGGAAAAGGGCTTTTTCTTGCAAATGGTAACTCCAAGCAGGAAGGGAGGTGAAAGAGAAACAGAAAGGAGGGAGGAAGAAAGGAAGGAAGGAAGGAAAAGAAAGAAAAGGGAGGGAGGGAAGGAAGGAAGGAAGGGAGGGGTCCCTGCCCTATGGAATACTCCCCTCCCCCCGCAGAGGTGAGGCGGGCCCCTTCCCTCCCAGTTTTCCGGAAGGAATTGAAGACCTGCCTCTGCCAACTTGCATGGAGCAAGAAAAGATACAACCAACGCTGGGGATGGCTGGCACCTTAAAGACACTCCTAATTAATAGCACCTAATTAACATCAGTCTCTTGGAAGTATTATATAGGAACCTTGCTGTTGTAGTGTATTTTAATTATTAATATTTATTTTATATTTTAATTAATATCTATGCTTTTTTACTGTAAACCACCCAGAGTTGCTCTATAGTGAGATGGGCGGTGACAAATCTGAAATATAAATAAAAGAGAAAGAGAAAGAGAAAGAAAGGAGGGAGGGGAAGGAAGGAAGGAACAAAGAGAAAGAAAGAGAAAAAGAGAGCGAACACCAAAATAT